ATGTCACAATCCATCATCCTTGTATTAAACTATCATATTTGAATCTATGTTCCGCAAAAGTAAGAGCTTAGTGAGGAATTTTTGGCTAAAGACTTGACATGATCAATATTAAATCGATTTCAACTGCGGATAGTTTGATATTCAGAACTTTGTGGATTTTGGAGGTAGAAAAAGCTTCTTATATACACATCTGGGATAAATAGTTTCTCGCCTCGTCTTCCCAAAACAGTATCATGGAATAGTTTAGTATCGTCCATCTGGTAGTAAAAAATAGAAACACTTTCCATGGGTGGCATGTACTGAACGTCGGCACGCCGTGTCCTCTGCGAACCTTGGATTAAACTATGCTCTGAAAGCCAAGTTCAGTCAAATTTCGGGGGACTATTTGGTGGAAATCTAGACTTAGTATGAGGGTTTAGCTTTCTAAGTATGATCATCGAGGTCAATTCAATTGACCCGATTGCATATGGTTAATCTTAGCTGGGCAACGTGAGGTTCAGTGGTATTTGAATTGCAGTGGCTAGGAAATGCTACCTTGCGATAATTGAGTGGCTGGTTGTTGCTAGATCACTGGGAGTTCGGGATCACTAAAGCCTCGGGGATCTGTATATAATAATAGACTTACTTGCGTATGTTAAGCTAAGTTAACAGAAAATTATATTATATTAATCCATATTGAGAGGAGAGATTGATATCCTATACAATAATCAATCGTATTTGCAGAGAAGAAAAGTACCAGGAGTCTACGATCCATGCTGTCCGCGTGGCTACCAATCACAAAATCCCAAGCATGTGATCATGTCCTGCCCTAAGTGGTCAAGCGGTAGGGGTGAGATCTGGAGACAAGGCAAAGATCGGTCCTACGAAGCAATGATAGACAATCCTGGTGATATTAAAAGAATTACGCAATGGATTCTTAGTCATGGTTGGATAGAATAATTCCGCATGACAAATGCAGTCGAAATGCTGATTAGAGAACGAGGCAGGACTGGCACAAGGTGGGGGTCGTTACAGGGGACGTGATTGGTACATACAGACGGCACTACAGTGTAACTGTGCTTCCTGAAGGATAAATTGTAAACTTCATAGACACAAATCAGGAAGCTGGGGAGGTTTTTACCGAGAGGTTTCCTCCTATGTAAATATATAGACAGGTTTATAGCCACCTGCATGGGCCCATAGGGCGCCAAATCAGGATAATGAATTCAAATCAAAAATATACAACAATCAATTAATTCTTGTCCGAAATTGCACACTTGTTTTTCGAGATATTTCCTCCTAGAAATCCTTGAAAATTTCTAACACTATTCTCGACACCTGTCAGTGGTGTCCCATACGAACCTCCAGCTCTCACAGTAGAGTCTGTAGAACCGAGATTGAGTAATAAAGTCCTCACTTCGACGAGCATTTACAATCGCTTTCGCCGTCTGTATCGTCTTCATCTCTCAACCCATTCCCATATCACCACTATCATGAAGCTAGCCACGATCGGATCAGTTGGTAGGGTCGGAGCCCTACTCATCACCAACCCTTGATTATGGAGGAAAAGCCATCCGATGGGTTTCCGAAGTGTACCCAGGACCCGATACGGCGATGGTGGGCTGGATCAAGTCGGTCTCGACTGTTACAAAGGGATATATAGATGAATATGCGCACCTCACGTGGTCCCAATGTCTAGGCCTCGCCTGGCTGGGGCTGCAGGTTTTTTGAGACTTTTTCCCGCGCACGTAGTTTCCAATGCTACCATTTTTTTTTGGGTAGAAGGTTCCGTGGAAGAGGTAGCCGAATTCCACGGGTAAACACTGAGCTGAATGGTTTTTCACCACGGACAATATATCAATGATATCACAAGTAACAAAAGAGGATAGAAGCACTGTACAACGTATGGCCTGGGCCAGAGAGAAGCCCAATGTGCTAAATAGTCTATGACTCAAGTAGTGCATTAAACATGCCCCTCTCTCTCTAGCGTATTCATATTCCTAGAGAGTTTGAGATTAGAAGGTAACAAACAACTTGTATATGACTAACCGACTTAACACGCATTCTGTGATACTAATTATAGGCGTGGTTTTAGTCCCCAGTCTACCGTAAGCCACATCGAAACCGTACGCACAGTACACTGTAGTACGTGAATACCCAAACATATATGCAACAGGCGGTACGAATAGCGCACTCGGGACATGCGTAGAGAGAGTCTATCCTGGCGGGAACCTTAGACGAGACAGATCATAGTTGAATCCTAAATTGTAGAGTCAGAATTTCCAATAATTACGCCCTCACGGCTCCATACATGCAATGAGCAAGGCAGTGAAGGTGTTACAGGTCGTGGCCCGATTTATCTGGAACCGGAGTTTATCCGGCTCCGAATAGGCGTTATACTTATTTTGGGAAAAGCCTCGACTCTGCTTAGTAAAGTTTCGCGAGTGACGCGTCGCGTTATGTTTATATTAGCCAAAACCCTTCGTAGCTACAGCTATCCTTTTTAGATAGAAAATAAATTCATTTTAACTTGCGATTGCAGAAGCTGCTTGAACATGAAACACCTACACGTGACATGAATGCCAATCTAGCTTGGCATTACTCAGCAAACACCTACGCCCTATGTAAGTAGAGCTCGCTGTAGCTACAACTATTTCTCCTCCTACAGCAAATCTATCGCACATTCCCAAGGCTATCTCCCTATCATGTTCATACCTCGTGATTCCAATACTACAAAATACTGTTCAAATAATAATAATTTGCACACGCATCACGAGATATGATTGACCTAGATCATGACTAATTGGTACAATGAAGCATCTCCCAATAGATTCCTAGGGGTACCTATTGGCGCAACGTTCTCTCCCACCCTTCCTTTCTCGATTAAACTAGGATTTATGTTGGAACATCCACTAGTGTGCAGAAGCCCCCCTTGTTCATGTAAAAAGAGGGACTTCCTGTTAATTTGATAATACAAGAAATCCACACAACAGGAAATTTAAATAATCTCCACATCATTCAAACACTTGAGAGAACTCGGGAATATCCCGAAGTTTGTGCGCTGATTAGAGTCCTAAGAGTATGACTCACGAACCAGACTTCTCTTAAAGCCAGAGCGAGCTCCCTCCACAACTTCATTCCTACGATACATCATTACAGCTCAGCAGAACTTTTCAACAAAAAATGCATTCTCTATTCCTAGTGATCATTGCTTTGTTGCGTCGTAATCTTGGCTATCACCACAACCACATATCATGAGTGAAGGTGGTGTGTAGGTTTTACTGGAATCGAACCAGCTTTCTCCTTTCTCAAATGGGTTAGGTATTCAAGCTACCTAGTATCTACTCGGAAGTCCGGCCCGAATGGTGTACCACTGCACCATACAACCCTAATTTCCGCTTTAGTTTGAATAGCCTGAGAACCTACGGCACTTGGGAAGGAGAAGCCTCAGACTACGTGTGACGCAGAACCAAGTCAAAGGTTGATGGAATCCTGTTTGCAGAACTCATGGTTTTTGAGAAGTTCCTCTGATTGGGTATTAAATATCAAGGGCTGTATCTGGGTGAAAGAAAAGCCACAACAACTTCGCAGTGTTACTTGTAAATAAAATCCGAGACGCGAATGCTCTTCTTTTAGATTGAGTTATTGATCATGTACTTTTTCTCTGATATTATGTCACAGCTAGACAGCTGCATATGTAACTAAAATCTGATACAAAAAAATTACATGTCCGAGATAACGGGCCCCGTCCCGCGGTTAAACACCGTAAATCGCTTTTGCCTATTTTAATTATAAGCATCACCATGGGTATCTATCATTCGTAGACTTAGTAGGAGTTGATAATGAAAATATAGGTGTTAACAACTCGATTGCAGGACCAAGGAAGCCTTTTATCCTTCATCACTTTTCTCGAACCGGATAAACCAATACCATCAGCGGGTTCAGGAAAATTGAAAAGAATCGCTCTAACTAGTTGGTATGAGGCTCATCTATCGGCATCGAATCAAGATCCGAAAACATAACGGCTGATCTAAAGCGTTAGGATAGGTTGACGGGCCTGCTGCAAACCTAAGGGAATTCGTTGGAATGAAATAACAATTGTTATATTAATAAAGACTTCACTAAATTCCAATACACATTTCCTATCCCATGTACATTATTCATAGTCCACGAGTAATCCATCTCTGTAGAGCCAACACCGATGTCTTCTACTCGTGTCCTTTACTTGTGTCCTAAACGGAGCGAGTGATCTGTCTTCCTGCCTATAGTTTTATTTCCGCAGGCTACTTTCACGTGACATGGATCTTTAACACAACATGTCACGCAGAATTCCTGCCCAGCTGGTATCCACTAACAGTCAGGTAAATATGTGACCTATACATTATTTATCCCTTAATAATATTTTATGTTCTGGGTCTAAAGAGAGTTGCACCCTGTTTTTAAAGACTCTTTTATCCCTCAGGAAAAATCAGAGGTGGTATTGAATATCAGAAAGGTATGGTGATAGTGTATAATTTATCGAACTCAATATATTTTACCGAACCATCTAGATAACCAGAGAAAGCTACTGTATGATGGACAAAATGAAACATTCTGCCCAGTATCAGTCTTAATCTCGTCCCAGTATACTGATAGGGAGAGCTGGAGGCATGCTGTAGATACCGCTCAGATGTAGTGAGTACCGTCCCGATTTCGGAGGAAATTCAGATGCTGTCATTACTATGCCTTCCTTAGTCGCAAATTCAAACATGCAATATTTATAATTGACACAATATGAATTAGTTAAGACTCGTTGGGTCGAATTGAAATTGTACTCGTTCTGAGGACAATGATCCAGCATAATTCGCACATGGTAGTTTGAACAGTTGGCTCACATAAGGAGTAGTACTATCTGAATATTGCGGCCTTCATCCTCTTTCTTAATCAAAGTCTTACCTCTTTATCCAGGTTCCAATTTTTTGAACAATCAATCTGAGTCTGTAGCATGAATTTTGATTCGTCGACAGTCTAGATTATCTGATTTAAGTTTGCTGTGTACCCATTGCACCACTTTTGCTCATCTCGACTGATATCCGATGAGTATATTGCCGATGTATAACACTCCACATCATCATATATTTTTCCATACATTGAGTGAGACACGATGTTTCGCCATTCGAAAGCACGCTGCCAGGTTTCGGAATACATTTTTCGAAGCAATTCTCGTTTACTTTCTATTTAATGATCTTATTAGTTTAATAGTCAAAAATTTTGAGATGTTCAAGTGACAATAATATGTGTGAATGGCCAATTTTCATAGTAGACTTCGAAGAAGCCTTGGGTGGACGACAAAGATTGAAAGTATCGTACCTCGATTAGCTGTTTTCCGCTAGATACTGCGGCTTGTTCTCTGAGCTGCTTCATCTACATTTATCCGTTTAAAATTAGTGACTGTCAACCTTCCTCGAACGCTCAACATTAATTTTATGGGTATTTATTACCATGACATCTTTAACGCTATCGCTACTTGACTTCATTTTAAAATCCATATTTTTGAGGTAAATTTATGGCGAAAAGTTACTGGATATTTGCCAGTGTGTGAGTCTTGAATACTAGATATATTGTTCATGTACTCAGATTGATGCATATAACTCATGTGATTATTTTACGTCTTACATAATCAAATGATCACATTATTCTTAGATTACTAAGCAATGACGCGTCGACAGGTTAAGCAGTGTTTCACTTTACGCGACCTGTAACTGCATACCCAATGTCTCAATAACCACGCCGAAAACGAGCAGATACCCCGGGGGAAATTACAACAATATTAGTTAAGATATCAGCCAGATTTCGCCAGCAAAGATAATTTTCTGCCTCATTGCTGTACCGATGCATTCACCCAGGATGCTTTGCATATCTGGGATAGTCAAGAAAATCGCATTTGGACCGAAGTCGAAAGTAGATATAAACATATCCACAATCTTCTACTTTTGATCAAAATTGGCCAAGTTTTTCCCACGCGAGTCCTCTACCTCAATCTTACCTCACATCACCTCACACCACCTCGCTTCAACGGCCAATCAATTAGTTCCTCCAATTTCAGACGAGAGCTTGCCATACCAGTCACCAGCCATCTCCCATTACAATATTGCGAAACTACGTCTAGTCGTAAGGACATAACAAGTTGTGACAAATAAAGCTCATGGTTTGGATTATATAGGACTGTCGCTCTAATAGGGCTGTACAATTCGAGACAGGACAGGCAGCTGAGATGTGAAATGAAAGGAGGAAGAGATTTCTATTAGGCATGCTTGGATTGTCAAATTTAGAGGAATTTCCGACTTGGTGATGTTTGTGAGCACCAAGACCGAGGTTTCGGTTGATTGGCCAGGAGACGAATATCGTCGATGATTCTACTATATTCACCAGTAATCCAGACGGCATAACGAAGTTTGGTTAAGATATTTCACAGCGATCACGCTCTGTCAAGACTCTTCTAACATTTCAATGCGACCTTGAAGAGATTGTTTCAAGGAAGCTAGAAAGGCAGAATTTGGCTTTCTTTTGGTATACAAAAGTCTGCAGCGAGCAGCTGGCTTGAGTTTTGAACGCTTGAGAAGGGTTGCTATATCTTAAGATTTAGTCCTGATGTAAGTATTAGAAGAGTCCCGCACCCAGAGGTTTTAGTGGTTTTCCCGGCTGCCATAAGCCCTCAAATGACCATCGTTTTGTTAGCTGGAGAGAGGGGATAATGAAGGCTCAAGAGCCCTCATATGTGTATGGTAGATTGAAGAATTGCGAGCGATGGTACTGTTTGATGGTTATTATGTAGGAGGCAGAGGGGGGAACATACTACTCGTATGTGTATCCCTGGCCTTCAGACGGAAAGAAAATCAAAGTATCAATGAAATACTTGCCGCCTAAAAGTCCTTCATAGTCAAAGATGCAGATGGGACTTGAACAAAAAATCTGATCTAATCAAATCTACCAGCAAAATTCGTGCATAACACCATTCTATGCTTGGAATAGTGTAGACTTATTGTATTCTCCAACATCAGAGTACTTATCAGGTCTGTTAATCAGACTTTTTAGCTCTAATTGCCAACAGTTCAACAGCAGTTTGGTCTCGGGTAGAATAAAATAACGTTGAACTCAAGTCCGTACAGCGTCTATTACTATGATTCTTTGTTTAAGCTTTAAATTGAATTGAAACTTTGAAAATTGACATTTTTAATATGCATCAACGGATACTGAGGATCACATCCCATTTTGTATAGAATAGAATAGGCTCTCATGGTAAAATCATATGTTTACATCATCTTCACAAGTTCTCCTTCAAATATACAGTTAGGTATTTCCACCCCAACATTCCTCAACTACATGGCCAAGGATATAGTCAACAGGTGTAAAGTATTTTTTACCTATTTTCTCCTACTGAGTCATAGACCATACGAGGAAATGCAGGTCTCGAAGATTGTACATGATATTTGCCCACAGGGTACCAGTGTGAGTAGATAGGGGCTCAAGGTCTTTCACAGAAAGAGCAAGAGGGCACGTCGTGATCTAATACGAGTACGGGCCCGAGGTAGTCTTCACAAGGCAGAGATATAATATCTTGAATGAGAGTAATATCGGGAAGACGTTGCGTGAAAAAGGTAATTTGGCTGTAGGCTACGCTTTATTATGTACATGCTCGTAGTTCACTGTTATTTTACATTTCCCTGCTCATATCTGCAAGATTTGTATGCTAAAAGAAGTCCATGATTCTAACCCCGGTGATCATTCCATTGAAGCAGGTCCTCCCTACCTACGGGCCAAGGATACCTATACCAGTAGTATATCCCCTCCTTTGCCTCCTCCATAGCTCCCCTTGAACAATACCACCCCTCACAAGCCCTCATTCGATCATACACTTAGAGGAGCCCTTTGCCCTTCATTACCTCCCCTCTCTAGGCAACGAAACGATGGCCATTTGCGGGTGTATGGTAGCCGGGGAAAATCGCTAAAACCTCTGGGTGCGGGACTCTTCTAATACTTACATTAGGACTAAATACGAAGACATACGGACGTAAAGTTTGGTGTAGGACGTCGAAGCTCTTCTTCCGCCTTTAGAGCATGGATGGTTTATTCAGTACTACTCGCCGAGTCACTTACGCCTGCATACATACAATTCATAGGAGGATGAAGACCCAACTCCAGTCAGTGATATCCCCTACGAACCCGGGTGTGAAATTCTTTCCCAGATCCATGTGCAGTCGAATTTCGCAGTACCAAAGTTGGCGCACGAGGCAATGACGAAAGACTCCTAGCGAGATCAATCTCTCACTGCTAACAAGTTCGATTCCGACCCAAACCTCATCACGCCTGCAAGTACGACCGGGTACATCCTTATTTCGATGAGCACAAACCTCGGCGAATCAGTCTCTAGCCTCAAACGGCTTCCACGTTCACGGCCACAAGAATATGAGTACCCGGCGGAGGACACAAAGCGTGGCGCACAAATCTGGGAGGCGAGTTCTTGGGATGGGCGATAGAAGAATCAGAGCAGGTTCACAAGATGATGCTAACTGTAGATATAATCTTGAGAGCGCTGAGATTTTAAAACTAGACGAGGAACTCTATGGATTGAGCTTTGTACGTGCGAGAGCTTCCACTTTGAGGGTGCGGACAACACTGTCAACACCACTGTGGCTGTATGGTGCAGTAGTACATTATCTGGGCTGCTCTCCCAAGTTGATTCTGGATAGCTTCAATACCTATCCCACTTGAGATGGGAGACCGCTGCTTCGAATCCGGCAAAACGCAACCACATCTCTCGCGGCGCTGGTGTGCATGAATGACTAAAGTATTTAAAATGTTCCTTTGGTGGGTACTTACGGAGGAAGATCGACTGTTTGTGTAAGCGAACATACCTCATAATGGTATTTGCGAATGAAACCCAGATTATGAGCGTCTTTGAAGTCCAAGGAGTCAGCAGATATGTGTACAAGATTCTGATGGCGTGCCACCCATGGATAGCTGCATACACAATAAATGATTTCAAAAAACCAAAAAACAAAACTCTCAATAGAGGTAGCAAGGATTTTCATGGCGAAGCAACTAGGTAAAAATATCAAGGAGTAACATTGACGGGGTCGGGAGCAAATGAGACATCAATTACTAAATATTATGATTGTGTAGACTACAAAATAGTGTTAATCTTACAGTAAGCCCCAAAAAAACTGGGTTAATTTCACATCGTTTTTGAAAGCTACACGACGCTAGCCTATATTTTACCCCATGACTACAATTCATTTATTTTGGACCTAAAAAGATGAGAACCATTTTTGGGTAGTAAACATTTTTAAGATGTAAAGTCAACAGGTCTTGAACTATCCACACCATTACATATGACCTGGCTTAACCCCTCTCCTTATTAGCCGACGAGTTTTGACGACTTCGCACGTGACTAATGAGGAGTCATTTGTTAACCTCGCAGCGTTACCTAGAAGTAGTTTGGCACGACGTTGATTAAAAAACAAATACCTACAAGTGGTAGAACGGCTATTTATTCTTTGCTACATCTATGTGCCTTTTGGCCAGTTGACGATGTGGTAAAGCTATTCATTCCGTAGCCGTCACAGATTTAGGAAGTTAGACTGGCAATTAGAAGGTGACTCTTGCGTACTCCTGCTGTCAATCCCTGTTTATGACTATAATGCACAAAATTAAATTCAGAATCTATGACTCCGCCTCTGATTAGTTCGCCAAGCAGTGATTCCAACGTAGGCACCAGCTATGATAATACAGAACAGCATTATTTTGAGCAAGAAGCCTCCCCAGCCCTTCTTTTCTTGGGGTATGCTACTGGTTTTCTCCCCCAATCCACCACTCTGTTTTCCTGATGTTTGGTCTCGGGTCTTGGTATCATAGAGATTCTTGGTAGAAACAGCAATTAGGTCATGGTTGTCACTCAACTCACCAGTCTCGGCACTGAAACCGAGATAAGCAACCGAGGGAATTGCAGGTGGATCCAATGTCTCAAAACAGAGGTCCCACTGACCTTCGACCTTATACTGCAAGTCTAATCGTAAGCTTTTATCCTGAAAATAAACCAGGCGTGCTTTGGTGGGTATAAGCGCATCTCTGATTCCTTTTGCCGAGCAGCCCATGAATTCGTTAGCTTTTCCATCGTTGGATTTGTCGTAGGATTTTACACCATCCCCAATCATGGCCATGACATAAGGGAATATTGTTCCAGGACGGTTATTTTTATATGTATCAAAAAAGATGCCAATTCCCTCAAATTTATCGGTGCTACCAAATACTGGCCCTGGGGTGGCACGCTGTTTGGTGAGCCACATGGCGAAACCATCTCCGTGAAGGTTACCTGCACCTGAGATTCTAAATTCAATTTCTACTTCCCAATTTGTGGCTGTCAAAGGAACACGCGAGAATATCCATCCTTCTTGTGAGGGCCGATCAGATGTGAGACGTATATATCTATGCGTCTGTTACAACCTATGCTCTTAGAGGTACAATCCTTTGACACATACCGGTCGGCACGTATTACTGTATTCCCACCAAAATCAAACCACCGGCTTTGAAGATCTGAATCAAGATATGGCTATGTCTGATATTAGCTAGTCGGAAAGGTTGAAGTTTTTGAGAGGATTGACCTGGTGGAGAGAATGTGTTTGCAGCTGAAATCCTGTTAGCAACATCATATTCTGCATATCTGTAAGTCCTTACAGGTATACTCTTAATTCCATTTGCATCAGTCAAGGTTACTTCTTGGACGGCAGCGAGGGCGGATGCTGCCAAACATATTAAAATAATTGTCAGGTTCATTGTCTTTGAGTTTATAATGAAGAGAGCCGCAAAGACTTGTACCACCTCTAGACTCAAGACGTTAAATTATCATGTGCAAAATCTAGGAGCGACGGATTTACCCGGAAACAAGAGATTGGACAAATTTGCTAGTCCTATGGATTGATGTCGGGTAAAAAGCTCGGCCAGCCTGGCCTGTATTCCTTCACGAGTCGCGGACTCTGCGCCATGCATTCCGACGGAAACTGGTCACGTGGTGTTTGGTACTCGAGCTTGCTGAATTCTGTTGTTATTCATCCATGATGTGCGGCTATGCTGAACATGTTGGGCCTTTCTGTCTGCAAACTAGGAATACCATGCCTCAAGTAATGTGCCTCCTCGTACGCCGTATCATTTTGTAATAATCGTTTATTGTGTGGTTCTCTGTTTAGATATGAGACATTATCAGACTCTTGTGTACATGTTAGATTACTTTTGGACTTCAGGGTAAACCCCCTTGACTGTCTCTATCAAGCGGTAGTATGCCCAGGGTCTTTTATTTTGGTAGGCAGTTGGGGGAGCCGTTAATACGTCATTGCCTCCCTCTGCAACCAACGAAGTGAAGGTCGTTTGCGGGTATATCGCAGCCCGGGAAACTCGCCAAAGACACTGGGTACAGGGCTTCCGTGTTATCGACATGGGGAAATAATTAGAATATAGGCCACACTGTAGAATAGTTCTGAAAGAACAGCTGCCTAGACGAAGTAGACTCTTGCGTGGCGACGGCGCGCGCACTATGGACCTCAAGTATCCTTTCCGCCCATTCCATCATCAGTGAATCAAGACACACTGGAAGTCATGATCAAATGTGAAATTATTCGGGACAGAGAGCTTACACTATAAATTGGCTTAGTCTTGTTTCTCTATTTATTTATTCTTGAGTGATTAAGGTTCTGAGCAGAAGCACTCGATCCACCCTGGGTACTAGATCGGTAGAGCTGACGGGGATCACTATGCACAAGCGCTACTCATTATTTTTTGTACGGTTTAAGATGCGTCCGGGTAGCCAGCTTTGACAAAGTACAAGTGCAACACGCACCGGTTAATTGGCTCTCTTGGCTGTGATAGCACTCAAACTCTGTATAAAATCGCAATTCCACCACGAGATGTGTCCGTTTACGCCGAGCTGTCGACTCACATCCATGAGTAACTACCATTGGAAATTTCATAACCGTTAGATATCCAGGCAAGTCATCGTTATCCTGTGCGTTAGCATCGCGGTATATATAAGCCATCTTTCATGATTTCAAACCGGCGAGATTCTGTCCTAAGTGGGATGGGTATTCAGCCCTCTGGACTTTACACATTACACTGGATCAGATCATATACCGCAACACCATCCAACCAATCTTGTGCACTGACAATCGAAAGCATGTGGGACTTGATGCTCATTAACATACAAGCTTTTACTGGGCTATCGAAATCTCACTCATTCATGCATACTCATAGCCCTTACAATTTTAACTATCTGACTCAATCTCTATCCGTTTGTCTCACCGGCATGCCTCGCCAGATATACCCGTCACGAGTTTTATCCTTTGTGTATCCGAATTGTCGTAGGAGTATGTTTGGGCGCAGAATTATTCGGTGTAGCATAGAGCATGACCCTTATCATCTATTGGAAAATATTAAGCCCAACAATATCTAAAATACTATTAACTTTAAAGCAATATAGATAGTTTTAGCTATCCTTCATAGTCATAGACTCAGTAGTGACATGAATAAATTCTATTCTATCTGGTGTAGCGCAATTCCTTCGGAAATATTCAATCTTCAAAAGATGTCACAGTAGTCACGACTAAATTAAGAGATACGCCCACTAACATTGATGAGACAACAGCTTGATCACTTACAGCCGACTTGACAAAATTGGACTACATGGAATTGTATTTTGGGCTTGCCCAAACTTTGTAGATTTTGCACACGCTTTCAAGGTAGTAGTAGTTGTTTCATGTGGCGAAACCAAGCTGATTGTAGTGTACTTTTAAGATTAATTTACATGGCAAAGTAAGACAACTACGGGTTATTGCTATTTGTACATCCTTCTAGCCCATCCCGTGCGTACTCTGTTGGCGAGTATGATAAATCGTTCTGCCACTACCCGTCGTTATCCTATCAAGCTACCTAGCTTGGCTTTCTTACTTGTCAATCGTACTTTACCGTCTCAAATTTCTTCCCAGTCCAAATGTAATGTGGCGAGGTGGAACTTAGTCTCTTGGTAGAAGATAATTTGGAACACTCTTTCTAATGCGCCCCAAACTCCGCTTAGGTCCCCTCCTAAGCTAAGCCACGGTAACTAGATGTTCAAGAAACTTTTAATGCCTTTCTTCACCATCGTTTGCTGGAAGCTTTGCTAGACCACGGCTGACTACTTTCTCTTTGGCGATGGATTCAATTCCTTGTGATACGATGAATAGTCTACATTCGATGTTGTGGGGTTTTCATGGAAAAGAAAGATGCTGAATGAGGTGTGCCGTAGTGATCACCACTTTTACTCCTGCTTCTCTTGCTGTACATGAACATTTTATTCACAGAAGCATGTTAGCTTGGTAGTTTGGATAAGCTGAAGATGTTGCGGTTACTTTAGTAACAATCCTCGCCAAAACTGTGGCTATGCCACCGTGCGTGTGATGACAATATCGGAATCTGGATTACTCGGGATAAATAATGGTGTTGTGTGATGGAAAGAGTAAGTCTACTTTTTTTTCTGCATCAGATTTTAATTGCGTATGCAGCCATCTAGCTATGGCACAATATCAGAGAAAAAGTATACAAAGATGACTCAATTATAACTAGAGCACTCATGCCTCAGATTTTATTTACGAGTACCACTGCGAAGCTATGGTGGCTTTTCCTTCACCCCAAGTCAACCCTCAGTCGTGAATACCCACCCAGGGGAACATTTCAAAAACCCTGAGTTCTCCAAACATTCTTTCATCATCCATTGACTTGGCTCTGCGCCACACACGGTCTGAGGCTTCTCCTTCCCAAGTGCCGTAGGTGCCCAGGCTACTCAGACTTTACCAGAGAACACCACCAGGAGGCGGACCACGGCACCTTCTATCGTCGGCTTGTTTTCATAGTCTCAGCTGCACTCTCGCAAGCGAAATTTTGGCGCGCACAAAACTCAATTCGTATAATTCCTTGCCAAAATTCGGAATCTCACGCCCTTCGAGGCTGTATCCTTCCTTTGCATCATCTTGTCAACTTGTCCTAATCCCTCTCACGTCCATCCCAAAGAACTGTCTCCCAGATTTGTGCGCCACGCTTCGCTTCCTCCGGTGATTGTAAATATCGGCGTGGGCGTGTTTTGGTGGTCAACTGTGGCCAGAGAAAGTCGACGGGAGGTGTGGTCATTGGGATGAGGATATACTATGTCATACTTGTGGACTTGATGAGACTTAGGCATGAATCGGACTCTATGGGAGTGAAGATTTGACATGGTGGAGTAGTTTGAATCATTGCCTCGTGGGCCAACTTCTTTGATATTGCGAAATTTGACTGAACTTGGCTCTGGGAGAATATTTCACTCCCAGGTTCGTAGAGGACACTGCGTACAGGTGTTCAGTCTTGCCCTCCACTGAGACCTGTTAAAGCGTTGCAGACTGGAAATTCGCCCCTTACCTGCAGCTTAATTCGCATCTTTCATGATGCTGTGCAAAGATCCAACGCAGAAATCAGATGGGTCCCAGGAAACTCATGCAGAAAGGGTAATATGAAAGCAGACAACGAAGCTCGAGCCGCACTGAAATTACTTCCGGACAGCCAGAAACGACCCAGCTATATCAGTCTTGCTTACCTTCGGCGTCTTATGCAATGGCGACGACAAGAATAGATAGACAAATTGTAGTCAACTGCTTGTCCATCTCGATACCGAGACTTAGACCTGCGAATGCGACGACGTAAACCCCCAAAACTATCATTGCTACGGAGATTACTACACGAACTTATTTCTGCGAGAATAGGGCATGGGAATTTTGCGGCGTATCACCGTTACTTCAAGCACGAAGATGCAGACCTGGTTTGTAGCTGTGGGCTAGAAAAGACGCCCACCCACTTTACACGCTGTTGGAGATACAATATTTTGACGCATAAACTTAGAAAAGATATGAGCTTAGATGCTTTTACTAGGCAACTCCTCGGGCATAAAGGGTTAGAGAAGTTTAAAATTTTTGGACGGGTTACAGGCTGCTTCAGTAGACTGGACTCACCCTAGATTGGGATAAATGCCAGGGCAAATACGCTGGCGGAGGAGAGCTCGAGATGAGGAATGCTTACTCAAAACCGATGATTATTTCTTTTGATTACTTTTTTTCTTCACTACATTATTTAAGGAGCTCACGATTTGTTAGCTCCAAAATGGATGTGAATTAGCAGGGCAAGCCCAGAGGTTAAATCTCGGCCGGCTCCACCGGTCCTACATCTAAATAGATTGAAGGCTACGGCCTAGCACGTAAGACTAAATAAGAGCTGAGACTTATTTGAATAATCTACGTGTCTGTAGGGGGAAAACCCAACACAAAACTACCTGTGGTGGTACAATAAAAATAAGTGTAAAGTGGAAAGATAGGTCTGCGCACTGCCCTGTAGTGTATCCCAGGAACGCCGATTGGGCCTTCTTGTAAAACAAATGATTTGAGCTTAGAGCACACAAGGATGCTGTAATTATGTGGCTACTATAGAGTCTTTAGGGGGGGTTTTGTACATACAAGTCTGTAAATACCAGCCTCGCTAAGGCGTCCCTAGGACTTGGTCCCGTGACAGGCGATCATCCAGCCGAATGTTGACAAGTTACTTGAACTGGTAGTAGGTCTCACGATTGACTTGGTCTGGCAAAAAAAATTGTAGGCTTCTGGGAAGGACCAAGTAAGATGATTAATGTAACTGGCCTTTCAATTACAGTTAGAGGCTAAAGAATTTAGTCTTCGTCACATTTCGGTAGCTTCGAATCTGGCAAGGTCCACGTCTAAAGTTCAAAAAACATGTCCAAGAAACGACTCGCAAGAAATTATATGTGGCATAGTGTTATGAATCTACTTATTGGCAGATTTTCGAAGCTGTTAAGCTGCAGAGGTCAAGTCGATTTCGACGAAGACAAATTATCGAAGGCTCCAGGTTACAAAGTTACGAAGGTCGAAGGTGCGAATGTCGAAGGTGCGAAGGTACGAATGAAAGTAATCGAGGCTCGAATTATC